TTTACCTGAAGAAATTAGAGCTAGATTTATCTTCTAAAATGCAAAAGACTTGAAATGTCTGGAGCCAAAAAATTTAGCAAACATACACCCCACAGGTACTTATTGTCAGGTATGAGACTAGGTTTTAATTATGGTGTGGTGAACAAAACTCCCTCCCTTCATGGAGTTTATAATCCACAGAAAGGAAAAAAACAGTAAACATGGAAACAAATACTGCTAAGTGCTATTTGGGAAACTAACATAATTTTGCATAAAATAAATAGGCGTTCCTAATTTAGATTGGATTCTCGGGAAAACTTCTTATAGGAGGTGGCATCGTAGGTGGGAACTATAGAATAAGAGGAAATCACCATGATAAGGAAAAACCTTTCAGCCAGAAGAAATAAGATGGTGAAGATAATGAGATAGAGGAAAGCTTAGTCTGCAAGAAACAAAGAATCCGTGGTGTTGGAGTTTAGGGTAGTAAGCGAGGGAAAGACAGCCATAGATGAAAGTGGAGATATCAAGGGAGGGCAGGTCACACAGAAGCTTGAAGGTTATATTAAGAAGTATGGAGAGTTTTGTTGGTGCAATGGGAAATCTCTGAAGGTTTTTAAAGCATAGAATATGATTCAATTTACATCTTGCAGAGATGACTCTGGCTGCTGGGTATAGAATGGGTTGGGGAGAGTCAGGAGTGAAAACAAGAAGACCAATAAAAAGATGGCTACAGTGATTCAGGTAAGAAGTAATGGTGGTCTGGTAGCAGGAAGGCTGGAAGAGTGGTGAAAGGGCTTGATAAATATAATAATATAATAATATAAATATCTTGCAAATAGAATGGATGGTACTTGGCAATAGATGGGATGGGAGGCGTGTGAGGGAAATGTTAACCACTAATCCTAGGATGCTGGTTGGATAGTGGGATGAAGAGACTAGAAAGGAAACTCATTTGGGAGAGAAAAATTGATAGTTAAGTTTTGAGCAAATTAAATTTAAGAAGTCTTTGAAACATAAAGGCAAATATGCCAAGAAGAGTGCTATGTATCAGTCTGGGGCTTCGAAGATATCTGAGCGGGAGTTATAAGTTTGGGGATTATTAGAATAAAGATGGTACATAAATAGAGGCCCTTTGTAACGTTTCTGAGAACACTGTCAGTGGAGGTGGGAGATGGGAAGGCAGGTTCCAGGTTGCAGTGGGTTAAGAAAAAGTTAGACAACAGACAAGACTAGACCAATCTTTTAAGCAGTTTGGAGAAAAAGAAAGCAGACAGATTAAGAAAAGCTTAAGGAGAGATGTGGGCATAGGGCAGAGGTGATTATGATAAGAGTTTTCAGGCTGTGAAGAGAGGTAGAAGACAGGGTGAGGCTGAGGCTCTAGGAGAGCAGGAGTAGAAGTGGGTGTGAACTTGAGAAAATCAATTCCCAGAGGAAGAAGAGATGGAATCCTGAACACAAGGGTCAGGTCAGTCCGTACAGGGAATAGAAGGACCTCTTCCTTTGAAATGCAGGGGGCTGACTCAGCATGGTGAAGATATAAGGAAGTCTAGAAGAAGACAGGTGAGATCACTAGGAGATTTCAGACCTGAAATGGCTTCTACCATTTTGGGTAGAGGTAACACTATCTGCTGAGATTTTCTTCAATTGTTGCTGCAAGGAACGGGGAAAGGCACTTGAATCCTCCACAACTATTATCGCAAACGCTTTCTGTATCTCCAGGAAGCTTGTGGCTATCAAGCCCTCACATGATAGGTTTATTGATTTCAAATTCCAAATCCTCTTAATACCAAATTCCTTGATTGCATTTTCTATGTGCCATTAACTCATTTTATAGCAGCCCAGGGCCAAGAAGCTATTAATGGGCTCCAAGTTCAAGTAAATTTTCAATTTTACAAGGCTTTATGGCCTTTCCAATTTTACTTGACTAGGTGACATTAAAGTAAAGCAAAACATCTTTAATTTGTCTCAAAGGACATAACCAAGAAAAACATTTCCCCATCCTTGGGATGGTGTTGGAAGAGAACATAAGCCAGTAAATTTTGCAAGGTAGGTCAAGTTTCCACTCTGTTGGTCACAAAAGTGTGATTGGTGCAATCTTACATTGGCAGAACGTCCACTTTATCATTCTTATCTCCCAACTAATACGAGAGCTTCTCATTTGTAATCACTTTACAGCTCAGTTATAGTCTTCATAAACTGTCAGTTCAGGGAGAGCTGTTTCAGCAAATAATGCAACACAAGTCTCTTCATGAAGAGTTAAAATATAGATGACTGACAGATTCAGTACTTACTGATACTTAGCAACATATTGATTATGTATGCAGACAAAAACAAGCAAAGCTCATTCGGACTCCGTATTATTAAAGATTTTTTATTTATTTGACAGAGAGAGACACAGCAAGAGAGGGAACACAAGCAGGGAGAGTGGGTTATTATTGCTATATGTTATTTAGTTACTTGAAGTTATTACTCTGAAGATTTAAAATCTCTTTACAGTGGCTAATTAAAAAAAGGATACATTTTAAGTAAAATATTAAGCTAAGCAATGTTGTCATTTGAGGCCTTTATATATTTTTTTTAGGTTAACATCAATGGAATCAAGGACTACGCAGTTTCCTGCACCCACAGACTGACTACCCTCTCTCTACACAGTTGCAATCATTTCACCTTTGATCTAAAAGCAAAATTCTGCTTCAGCTTCTGAGATCTATTTATCAGGGATAATTTTAGGAAATACAGACCAGTCTTTGGTTGAGTCAGCATCCTCAACCTAGCTGAGAGTGGTTCCAATTGGTATTACGCTTCTAATCATTTATGTTCTGCTGCCTTGCTCCCCTACTGACAGCAGGGTTCTGTGATGGAAAGTATATCATCTGGGTTTGAATCCCCATTTTACCACTATCCTTGCCCTGTGTTCCTGGGTAAGTTATTTAATTCTCTGAGCCTCAGATACATACTATCTCAAATGTTGTTAGAAATACTTACGTTACAGAGGTGTTATATTAATGTCTAGCTTTTGTTTGGCAAGTAGAAGACAGTTCCATTTTTTACCCCCTTTCTCCCAGGTTCCTGCCTTCATAGACTCCACATTGCACCAGTTCTCCAGGCCTGAGTTTTTGCTTTACTTTAGGTAAATATCTTTAGGGACCAGATTTCTGTGAACTGCTATTGGATTACTTTGATGACGGTCACCATCTGCCTGCATTCCTACATATTAGCTGAGTTTAGGGTCCTAATTACTATGCCTTATCCATCTATCCAGACAACTGATTGCATCTTACTGAACTGTCACAATGATTATGATATGCTCGGGTCACCCCTTTTTGCCTGACATCATTTTTATGATAACTTTGGACTACCAGGTTGCTTGGACTTCCCCCATCCCTGCCCCACAAAAGTTATGTTTAATTTCTGCTTTGTTTACAGTTTTTTTTGGTCATTATATGATATGATAAATGGACCTAAAAGTCAACTGTTTTCTAAGTCTGAACAAAGAAAATCCCCTGCTCAAAGAAAAATATAAACCTATGATAACAGGAAAACTTGATAGGCATTATAAAATAAAACATATATTTTGTGAGAAAATGCTGCTAATTTTAGTACTTGCAATCTACAACACAGAAACAATTCAAGTTAAAATTGAATGGTGTAACCAGAAAACCTCGGAATTTCAAGAGGTTGTCAAATCTTAATGCTGACCAACACAGAAGCAAAGGTAACAATCAGTAGAATCAATGGAAGAGAGGTCGAGGGTAAAAGCCAACCTGTATGAATGAGTAATGAATTCATTCTTCTCTTTCTGTATCAGTTCTAAAAGCTAAAGTTCAGCCTAATTTATTACACATCACAGCCATTAATAAATAGTTGGGTTCATATTTCATTCCTGTGGTTTGAATTTGGTTGTCATTGGCATTTAAACCAAAAGTCACCATCAATAATTTCAACCAACTTATTTATATGATATATTTTAAAATTAGAATATTAATTAAAGAATAGCTCATGAATGATCTTGTTCATTCCAGGTTCTAGTGGGAGTAGATCAATATGTATGTCTATACAGCTCTTTCTACATAAACATTTCTATTTATTTCCAAGCCTACATATAGTAAAACTAGAAAATTAATGTAATTGCTTAATAATCAGACACTGGTGAATACATTTATTCTCTAATAATACTATAGGTTTACCTGAAATTTTCCTTTGCTATTTTGATGTTTAGATCTAGAACTATTTTAGATTATCTAAATAAATATCTATTTCCCACATTACATTAAGCCATGTTATAATGCTCTGAATTATCGCCTGCCACCCTTCTGTGCCCCTGAAAACCAGGAAATTGCCTAGGCCTGGTATTTACAATAAACGGGCTCAACTGCCCGAATGTTGATGGCTGAGGAACAATGAAACAGTCAATAAGATTAAATATTAGTGACTAAAATATTCTGATTGTTAAGAAAGCAATCATTGAAAAACAGCACAAGAAGACAAACAAAAATCAATCACTAGACTTGAAAAACATCAACTCTTTGGCCCAAAGCACAAGCCTCATGAATACCATTTATCATCCTGTTCTTCCCATGAAGAAAGACAAATGTGCACAAGATTCTAACATACTGTTTTTCTAAAAGCCAACAATTTACAGTCATTCAGGTGCACAGACTATACAACCAAAAACAATCTCACAAGGTCTTTTCATATTAAAATGTTTTTCTTCTCTTATTAATGCAGCTTGCGTATTAGAAGGCCTTTGGGGAAACTCCACTCTAAAGAGAAAAGCATGCATTCGTAAACTGTCCAGCTAAAATAAGTGGACTTTCTCTAATGTTTCAAAAACATAACTGCATTGAAATGACCCTTGAGCCACCAACTGAGAGGAGATGTCACTGGACTGTGAATCTCTTGAAAAGTTGGCAGGGTGGTGTAGCTAAAAGTATCTCAGTACCAATTACTCAGTACAAAGTTGAATTTAATTGGGTCAAGCAAACGTCCCTCTTTCTCATTCCCCTGTCCAAGTAACTCACAACTTTCAATCTCCAGAGTGCAGTTCTGTTCATCCAGAGGATATCTTCGTAGATCCATCATACATGCAGCTGTGGTTGTGATCCTGTCAGGATGAGAGAGAGAAAAGACAGCTTCATAAGGATGATGACTTTCATTTCCAGGCTTCCCACCCCCAAATCATGTTTACTGGTTGGCATCAAAATTTTGTGATTAAAACTTTTGAAGGTGAGCAGATTAAGAGCAAGTCTTTCTTTGCTGCCCACTAGGTGTGTGAGCTGGCTCTGGCTTATTTATCTCCATAAGCCTAGGTCCCCTCATCAATCAAAACACCCACTGCAGGGAGCCTGGGTGTCTCAGATGGTTAAGCGTCTGCCCTCTGCTCAGGTCATGATCCCAGTGTCCTGGGATCGAGTCCCGCATCAGGCTCCCTGCTCCTTGGGAGTCTGCTTCTCCCTCTGCCTCTCTCTCTCTTTCTCTGTCTCTCATGAATAAATAAATAAAATCTTAAAAAAAACCCACCTACTGCAAAGGATGGTTATGAGGAGTAAAAGAGATAATGTGTTCAAATTCCTAGCCTGCTGCCCCATACTTACTGCTCCACAAATGATGGTCATGTTACAACTGTTATTATCCCATGGTCCTTCTTATACTTACTATAGCAATGTCTGTGACAATATTTACAGCAAGTCTGGCATTATGAGCAGGAGGAGATCAACACTATGCATCAAAACTTATCTCCCTCTCCTACTATAACCTAGTAATAAAACAACAAGAAAAATGACAAAAACAATAAAACCCATCCTCCATGACATTTGGGGCTTCACATTCATTCCCCACTATTAGCGAGATTTGTTGGATTCATCTCTGAGATCCTCACCTACCTATACTCAGCCGGTAACGTATAACCAGAAAAGAAACACTATCCTAGGATTGGTGTTCACACCATATTTACCACCTTCTGTTCTCCACTCAGCTTATTGGTTTATGCAAATCCCAGGACCTTGACTCTAGATATCCTACTGGGGTTTCCATTATCCCTCCATTTTCTCTTGTCTGTTTTCTAGAATGTGGAGTCTGAGAGTAACTTAAATTCCTATGGTTAGTCCATACTTACAAACATTTGGTATCACTTAGGAATTGACAAAGTACTTTTCTTGAAAAACAAATTACACGATCCTTCTCCATGAAGTAATGTCTAATCATAATTTAAAGAATTCAAAAGATTAAAATTTAGTTATGTTTCCTTTCTGCCTTAATCCCCAAGAGCTACAACATTGGACATTTTCCATAAATACTCTGTATGCAAAAGAAGACAGGTATGTCTTCTTAGGGGGAAACTTCTTAGATAGCATCTACTATGTCCCCTGTTCTGAACCTTGCTTGTTTTCATTAACAATGCATCTTGGATTTGGTTCCGTGTCAGTAAATAATAAGCCGTCTTAAAAAAAATTTACCATAGCAGGTTCAGCTGTATGGAAAGATCATGATTTATTTTTCTAATCACACTTCAGTGGGCATTTACATCATTTCCTATTTTTTTACTGTTACAGATGAAGATGCCCCGAATATACTAATATACTCTACTATGTCTGGCTATATCCGTTGGCTGTTTCTAGAACAGGAATTGTTAGAAAAAATGGTATATACACTTAAAATTTTGCTACATCACCCTTCATAGAGGTTGTGCCAATTTACACTCCCATCAACAGTATATTTAAATTCAACAAGGTGTTTCTCGAACCAATATGTTTTTTTGTGGCTGCTAAGACAAGTTATTATTTTGGTCATTTGTGTTAACCTAACAGGCACCTTCTTAAAAACATTATTAGGAAATACACTAACTGTTTCCAATTTCTCTTTGGCTTTCCTTACAAAAAATGAAAGTTTAGGGGTGCTTGCATAGCTGAGTCGGTTGAGTGGCTGACTCTTGATTTCTGCTCAGGTCATGATTTCAGGATCCTGAGATAACAAGCCCCGGGGCCTTTGTGCTCAGTGTGTGTGTGTGGGGGGGTCTGCTGTAGGTTCTCTCTCTCCTTCTCCTTCAGCCCTCCCCCCCAACTTGTGCTCTCTCTCAAATAAATAAATAAATAAATGTTTTTTAAAAATGGAAGTTTACCAAGATGAACATTTGCATGTTCCCTTTGAAGCCTTTCTCAGACAGGATGTTGGTCAATTTAATCAGATTTATTTTAGCTTTATATAAGAGCAAAAGGAATTTTAAAATTCAATTAAAAATTTCTTCAAAGTACTTTACAAAAAATATGAAAACTAGTTGTATTCCAGAATTTGCCATATAAAAGTGTTTTACCAGATTCCTTACTGCTTCCCACTCCCATTATCACATGAATTAATTTTTCCACTTAATAATATATCATTAATTATCTTTTGTTGTCTGGAAATACAATTCCACAACATTATTTTTATGGCTTGCATGTATCTCAAATACCCTCAATAAGATGACACAATAAATATTTAAAATGTTTTAAAAATCACCTATCTACTTTACTGTATTCTTTGTTTAATAGCTGCTTATGAATTAAAAAATTCAGGAGGATATGAACATTCCCTAGAAATTAACAGTGTGGCCAGTCCTATGATTTAGCCAGTAATTCTCAACCAGGGATACTTTTTCCCCCACAGGGGACATTTGGCAATATCTGGAGACATATATTTGATCATCAGACTGGGGGTGGAGGCTTGCTACTGGCATCCAGTGGGTAGAGGCCAGGGCTGCAGCTAAACATCTTACAATGCCCAGGATAGCACCCAACAATAAAGAATGATCTATTCCAAAGTGTCAGTAGTGCCAACGTTGAGAAACCCTGCTACAACGGTGGTTTTCAAACATTTTTCCTCTGAGGATAATTTTAATAAAATGAAATCTTCTAGAGAACCTCAATATATAAAATACAAATGAAATGAAAGCCGTATTTTGTTAATATAAAATTACCTTATAAATTCAAATGTTGACATCTATTTTAATGAGCACAGAATTTGAAAGCAGGCGGTACAATGAGAATTATGATCTTATATCCCTCTCAGCACCAATTATTTTTGTGTTGGATTTTATTTGTATAGTATCAAAAAATCCTAATAAGGAAGGAAACACTTACTTCTAAAATCTTACATTACTGGCTATAGGCTTCCCTGAATTAGCAGGAGGGAACCCCCAGGTTATCAAGGAACCTCCTCTATAATCAATCACACTTTTGCAAAGGTTCAGATACATCCCTAGATGATTGGACTCTAGCAAGTGTTTAATATGGATTAAAGGGAAGCTTTACTTGTTGCTTCATGCTCTGCATAAGTTAATCTGGTAGCAGAAGTTAATACTATGATGGTCTTGAATGCATTAAAATGTGGCATAGGATGCATTACAGTGTGCATGCTTCTTATTATAGCTTAAAATAATTACAATATTTAAAAATCAAATTAAAATCAAATATTTATGGAATTATGGAAGAGCTTTAGGGATACTTGAGAGCGTCATTTGAGCCCTCTTGGTCAGCATATCTCACTTAACTGACCTCATTTTCAGACGTGTCATCAAGTAAGTGAACCACATCATATCAGAATAAGGACATGCATCTTTTGTTGAATCACTGATTCCCATGTTGTGAAGCTCTGGAATTTTTACAAAGCAATTTGAAAAGCCAACAAAGCATTGTGTATAAATGAATAACAAATGTTTCATAGATATGTGTCCTGGAGTTGTGAGTGACAAAAAATATCTTTTTTAAAGCATAACTGAATTTACTGTTGCTACTTGTTATGATCAATCCATTTAGCAATCAATAGATATAATATCTAATTGATAATCACCTTGGGAAACTATATATCACACCAGAGGCTTGCCCATGATCTGATGATTTCTCAACTAGTATCACCTGGACCAGTTTACATCTGCCTCAAGTTTCATTATGAAACCAAGGAAAGTAAAGTAATCACAACTCAAAAAGGGAACTAGCTCTAGGAACTAGAGCTGTGAAAAGCACCTGACTTTCTCTGAAGAACACTGACATTAGTGAAATAACTTCCTTCTTGGGATCTACCTGTTCCAAATTTCAAATTCTCAAGAGGATTTCATTGGCTCAACTTGGATTAGGTGCCAACTCTTCCAAATTATTTAGTAAAAGCTGGAAGGAAAGTTGCACTCATACAAATGTTGTCACCAGGGACCGATAAAGGTCTCTTATCTCAAGAAAGAAGGAATCACTGAAGCTCAGGCAGGGACACCTACATACGCAGGAATTCATAAATTTATGTTGTGGCCTGTAGAAATGTATGTAACTGAGTATTGGTCTCTGCTAATTTAAGGGTTTGGCGTTTCTAGATTTTGAAATACTTATGGCTAAGTGAGTAGAGTGTCCTGAGCTCTTTGTGAGAAAAAAAGGCTGAGCAAGAATTCCCAGGATCATCAATAAAAAGAGAAATGTCCCTGGGCATCAGCTCTTCTGTCTTCTGGGTAAGAAGCAACAATGAATACCTCTAAGAATGACTGTTTCCAATGTTTCCATTTGTTCACTTTGCCAAATGTAATTGCTCAGTAGTGGTTAGTCACCTCCACAATTGATTAACACATCCATACGGAAATGTACTCACAGTGTGGCTGAAGCAGCCTGAGATTCTAAATCGTCTATGGAATCAAAGGTGCCAAAAATTGCAAACTGAATGGGTTGAGAGCTTCAAGACTGAAGTGATTTTTCAATTTTGTTTTTAACTTTCACACCCAAGTCATTCATTCTGAGTGTGTGAAAACATTATTATTGGTTGATAGCAAATGAAAGTACAATACAGTAGAACCAGCTATAGGTAAAAGCATTAACTGTTTTTCTGAACGCAGACTTCCCAGAGGTACAGTTTCATGACAGCATAACATTCAGCTGTCTTCTTTCAAAGACCTTTCAAATGGCTTACATTATAATCCAATTTATTGACATTTTGAAGGTTAGGTCAGAACACCATAATGGGCTGTTAGTTAGAAACTATGGTCCCACGAGACTTTGGACTGAATGGGAATCATGTTGCTGTAGTATTCATTTATTAAGGTGTATGCTGTTTGGTCACTGACCTTAAGAGTCACTGTATTGCAAATGGTGTATA